TGGTAACAATTCATTGTCCGCGTCATATGCTGAGGCTGATAGCAGTGTTCCCCTATATGGTCCACTCAAATGTGTTCCATCTATGTACAGTATATGTCTTGCCCCAGACAAAAAACCCTCTATGCAACAACCATATGCTATGAAAACACGCTCAAATATATTGTTAACAGTTGCTACCCATTCAGCTACCGTCTTCTCATCGGTTTCCTTCAATCGTTGACATATCCATGGTATCAACATGTATGACTGTTCAGGCCTCCCTTGTATTTCCTCTAATGCTTTTTCCTTAGCCCTATATGCTTGCTTATATGTCAACTTCACACCATAATCCCTTGCCAAGGTCCTCCTTATTTCATTTGGACGCTTTTCAGTGTGATCCCTTACCTCCTCAATGATAATTGATGATGTCAAGGCTGCTCTTCCACCATGTGTAACTTGCATCATCTCTTGGGCATTATGCACATGTTCATTACTCAGTCGAGTTACAACGAGGAAAGGACTTCTCTTCGCAGCTACTCTTGCTATTATCCGCCAAGGACAACCTTCAACTTTGCATTTCACATGCACACATTCCTCACAATTTTTACATATTTGTACTCGAAGTTTTCTGCAATACTAAACTTATATACTGCCTTTCTGAATTCTGTGGCATTTGCAAAAGTTTGCTTCTTTCCTAACAACAATTCCTTCCACTTCACAGCATTCATCTCGGGCATTGGTGTTGGTGCAATCTCTACTGTACTTACTAGCCTCACATGACATCCCCCACCGCCTTCTCTTACACAGTCACCCCCATTTTCATCACAAACTGTTCCGTCCATATTATTCTCCCTACTTGACAAAAAACACATTTGTTGTGACAATCCCAAGTAGTTGTCAATGCTGCATGCATAATTACAACTTTTGTTAGCAAATTCACAACAACAATATAACAAATAACAACTAAAATAACCATAAAAAAACAAGTCTCACATTTGTGGATCATCCATTACTTCCGGTGTACTCTCCTTCAATGCTAGATACACATGTGCACTAGTGTCATTATACTGAAAAAGATTATCAACTTCACTATCATCAACCAAATCTACTAATGCCTTATCATCGAGGCTCACTGTATATTTCATGTCACAAATATTAACATCTATATCAAACCATTCCAATATCATTAACCTCAACTCTTCGTATCTTATCCCCTGTTTTATCGTTCTAACTCTCACACTCCCACCATTGTATCTCATTTCACCTTCAACATTATTAACAAAGTTTCCACCAAGATGAAAAATCAACGCAAGTGTCTTTGAATATGTTGACCCAATATTGCAACTCATTCTGCATTATACCCTGCAACAAACAAGGAAAATATTTCATCACAATGTCATCTCTGTAAAAAGGATATTTCATAAACCCAACACAGCTACTTTCAAAGTTAACAACTTCAATATATCGTTTCACAACTCCACTTTAACTATTAACAACACCCTTCACAACCTCATTACTATGGATATTCAGCCTACTTATATACGTGATCATCGCAGCGCTTCTTCCAATTTCCCTCAGCTACCATCTGCTATCCCCAAAAACAGATCATTATAAACACCGTCCCAGACTAAGCTAACTCTATCACTCACTACCCGACTCATACGTTCCATTCCCACAAGTTAAAAACAACAACCAATACCTCCAGATGAATCAACTTACGATTGCTACAGCATCGTCTCCCTCTTAAGCTGACAAAACTAACTTGGCCAGAACCCTAACCTTATCTAACATTAATCAACTCATTTGTTCAGATTGATGACCATTCTCACACCTAAAAAAGGAAAAACCAACACCCCAATATGAAGAACGTATGCCTTACGTAATGCCGCCCCTTACCTACTCTGAACCCTCAACGCCACATACAGAACGCAGGACCACCAAAATGAAGAAAACAGACCGCAACAGTCATGCATGGAGGATGAAACAGTCATATGATTCCAGAAAAACACTTACCCTTTCGAACCACCACGTTTTCGTCACCTTCGACCTGCTGGAACACGCACGTTTCTCTCCTTTCCTTCCCGCCTATCTTCCTTCGGTGTGCGGTTTATTGTGGTGCCCATGTGGTGCCCACGCTTTGTAATGGGTGAGGGCGGTTTGGTCTTTTTGTCTAAGAAAATAATCCCAGAATGGTCTGCTGGTACCAAAACGGGATTACTGAAATTCGGCGGACGTTTTTGGGCTTTTGGAGTTGGAGGTGCATTTTTCTGGCATTTTTCCTTTTTTTTTTGGGTCAGTTATATATGATATAAAATTAAACGAAAACGGGAGGACGTAAAGAAAGTGAGAATATTAAAATTTTTGCCTTAGTTCATTCAAAAAAAGGCTTACCTTCGGAAAACACAATGCGACATAATAGCTTTATACACATATATATTAATCTTGGTAACTATGTTATTTTATTTTAATTTACTAATTTCATTTATGTTTTAGCTCTTTTTGTTTCATTTTTTCTTTAATTTTTTTTGGACTTTCTTTAATTTTTTAAAATATAGTAAAATGTTTTCCTGTTCTTTTCTATGCTAAGAAAATCAGACTGATTATTAAGGAGGTGTTTGGCTGGGACTAAAAGTACTTTTAAAATATATTTTTACAAGAGTTGAGACAAAATTCCTCTCCTGTGAAACTTTTACAACCATGATTTGATCAAACGCTTCAAATATTTGGTTAAGGCACTGGTTCATGATTCGATGGCTGGGTTGTAATCAAAACTGTGATCAAACTAGCTATAAATAAATTGGTATATGTTAAACAATACTCCTCTAGTATTTAATATAAGATCTAATTATTGAGTTAATTTTCATCCTAAATATAAAACCTATTTTTCATATTTATTTATTTTTTAAAAAAATTATTCCTATTGATACTCCCTCAACCATAATCAAGCAGGAGAATGAGAGAGGATATTAAGAAAGATGATTATGATGTTTTAGAAAAAAAAACATGTCATATTTATCATAATTAATTAAATTACCTAACTTTTTTAATGTAATCAAATCAGTTGAATAAATCTTATATTAAAGATACGAGGATATGCTTGAAATATATTGATGAATACAAATGTAAACCCCCAAATCAAAATAATATATGATAATTAAAAAAAAAGAAATAGAATACATACATTTATACATATTTCTGGCTTATTTATTCAATTTTCTTCATTTTCCAATGCTTATTAAGCGTGTATATAAACTGTTAGTTTAGAAATATGGATTAAAATTCTCAAAAATTAAAAGAAATCGGTTCAACTCCTTAACTTACCGGTTTTAATTGGTATGAGGTAAAGTATGATTTAATTCTCAGAAACATTAGTTCTTTTCATTATCCACATTCGTATTGATTAATTCGATAATGTTTGACTAGTAAATAAATATCGTTATTGAGCTGAAGCAAAATACAACTAATAAATTAAAAAAATGAAAAAAAAACTTAAATTTAAATGAAATTAAACTTAAATTCAATATAATTAAGCAACCCAAATTTAATTTTATCTAATACTACCCACATGATTTTATGAAAGTGATTGTCTGTCATTTTGATTATTGTCAATATATTCACACAAAATATTATATATAAAGACATACTGTTTAAGAATCAGAAATAATGGAACTCAACTTGGAATCCACGAAAAAATATGTGGCCAATAGTCTAGTGGATAATTCAACAGGTGGAATATAGTTTTCCATCACTAAACAAATAAATACTACCTCCGGTCCTAATTATAAGACCCAGTTGACTTATTTGAGGAGATTAAGGAAGTAAGTTAAGTTAGTTATTTGTAATAAATAAGTGTTGTCATTCCTAAAATATCCTTGCTAATTAAGTGTATTGGCTAGAACTATCATTGTTAGAAGGATTATCTTGGAAAAAATACATAAATATGAGAACAAAATGAATTGGGTCTTATAATTAGAATCAAACAAAAAGTCAAATAGGGTCTTATATTAAAGACCGGAAGTAGTAATATAAGAGGTCCAGTTAAGTTGAAAATATCAGACGTCATAAGTAATTAACAAGTATCCTTCATTGTCCAAAAAAGGTATGAAATAATTAACAAGCATCTTTCATTGTCCAAAGCCCCCGCCCCGGGGGGTCACAAGCACATTTCAAAACCAAGTAGTACCTCCAATCCTAAATATAAGAACTAATTGACTAATTTGAGTATATTAATAAAATAAGTTAAATTAGTTATTTGTAATAAATAAGTGTTATCTTTCTTAAAATATCCTTATTAATCAAATATACTGGCTAACACACCATCTTAAACAAAATACATAAATATGAGAGATAAAGTGAATTAAGATCTTATATTTAGAATCAAAATAAAAATTAAATATGATAGGACCAGAGGTGGTATCTCGTAAGCAGGGGATTTTAATGTTAGGCAATTACGATTACAATCGTACCACCATACGGTAGTTGTTAAAAATGCAGAAACACCAATAATCTAAATTAAAGCAACCAACTATTCTATATCAAAGTAACGAAATTGAAGGTTTAAACAGCTGATTTGTCATTAGAAGAAACAAATGAACAACCGTTGTTGAAACATCTCAATGAAGTATAGTATAAATTGGATTAAGCATTTTGATTGGGGGGAAAAAAAAATAAAGAAATTCTCCCAATATGAGAATCATATTCCTGTGAAAGAGTCACAGCTCTTGTTTACTTCCGCTACTACTAAACCACATTCTATTGCTGCTTTAGCAATTAGTAAACATAACACAAGTCACAATCTGATTCTCTATCTTTCCGCCCCAAAGCGCTTTAGGAATTTACTGCAATATTACAGTCTGGTGAGTCCTATATGTTGTTCACCACCAGAGTCACGATAGCTCGATCAATTTTTTCTGAGAATATTCAACGGGTTATGATATTGTACACTTGGAAAACTCATTCTATGGAATGTCAATATCAGGCTGACTATAAAGATATCCATCACACATAACTAAAGGTTATACCTGCAAATATGTGTGAGAAAGATGGTCACAACTCTGCTTATCTATCGAAGTCTATATTGTGTATCGGCTCTGTTGAATAACAAACTATTATGGCAACAAAAAATGAATTTTCTAGGAGTATTGTCGCACCTTTAACCCGAAAAAGTGAGAGGGATCAATAACTTCAATGTGCCATCTCATCCAAGTGTTGTCTGTAATCAGCTAAGGTCTGCAAGCACCATTGGAAACATATAGCATTGGGATTATCAAATAGGCTCAGTGAGATGAACAAAGCCGAAGTCTGAGGGGGAATATCATTAAGACAATTCAATCAGAGTGAGCAAAAGAGGGTATCTCCCTTCATAAAATGGAATTACAGGACAATTGATGTCTTCAGACTGGCTGAATCATGCTTAGTATTTATTAAAACCTAGGGGATAATATAGTTTCCATTAAGCCTTTTTGCAAACTTGATTTGCAACTTTGGATTGACAACTGCCCAATTTAATGGTGACGGTCCCCGTTTCTACCAAAACAGCACTATCATGAACTATACGAGGTTAAGCCTAGCAAGTAGTAAGGTTTCTTTTTCTCCCCCCCCCCCTCCCCCCTCCTTTCTTTCCCATTTTGTTATAGATTCAACTTCAGTTCCTATAGCTGAAAAAATGAGAAAAAGGCAATATGCCCATAAACATACAGGACGAAGGCTACGGCAAACCGATATTCATACTTTCATGACCACTTGCAAAGATGAGGTCTGCAGCCCAAACAGAGCATCACTTCTTCACGAAGTTACAAGCAATTACTGTCAATTCATCTAAAAATCAAGTTAACACCAGGCTAATTGATCGTACCTTAGTATATGCATAAACACCTGCCTCTGTAGGCCCCACAGGACTTCCTCTACAGATAAATTTTCCCTCTTTATATATGTAAAGCAATGGTAACCCAGTCGACAATTCCAAGTTAATGACCTGTTTCTCCACAAAGGTTAGATTAATATTGGCCCTATCTTTATTAACAAGAAATAACGAGGGACGTGAGAGAACTTAGCTTAGCACCTCCTGTGATGTTAATCGGTCAAGATACATTATAATGGATCTTAGAGAATTCCCATGTGCAGCAACCATCACATGCTTTCCAGCTTTAAGTTGTGGTTCAATCTACAATGCATGCTTCTTAGCATCAACTTCCATGGCAATATAATTCCAAGAGATAAAGTAACCAAAAAAAAAAAAAATCTCATGTTTAATGTTAGGGGAAAAACAATGTACGCACATGATCCTTAAAGTAGGCAACGGCTCTCAGGGAACACATTTCTAGGCTCTCACCATTGGGAGGGGGGATATCATAACTACGACGCCACCCATGCACTTTCTCCTTGCCGTATCTTTCTGCAGTCTCCTGCTTATTTAGACCCTGTAGCTCCCCATACCTGTAGAAGAAAGAAGGGTTGTTCCATCAAATTTATTTGACATTTACATTAAACAATAAATAGGGCAAGACTTTTCATAGTCCTTACATTCTTTCGTTCAATTGCCAAGCTGTTATAACTGGAATAGACTGCTTCTTGGTTTTCTCACTGAAAACCTGCGTCCAGGTTTTTGCTTGTTCACTCTCATTATGGATGATAATGGGCACCTGAAGAGCACGCATTTGGCTTTTGAAGAGGGGGGAAAAAGTCTAGCTTTTCAAAGAAAAAATAACAAGAGAAAAGAGAGTTCACTTTTTAATTTTACTTCAATTCAGGAGGATATAAAGTGAAGTTTGACACCTCTAATCTGCAGTGCAGATGAAAGTTTTGTTTAGAAGTATGCCAAAAACCGAGGACCTAGAAAACTCTGATCTTAGTCGTACGACATGAATGTATGCCAAATAATGTTTCATAAACACGCCATTTCTTCTTTTACTTAAAGCCTCTTAAAAGAAAATCTGCACATTTGGAAGACAGAGAATGATCTAGAGCAGTGCTGTCAATCAAGCTGTAATTTAGCTAACACCCATTTTCATTAAGCATATTCTTGAAATGTGTAACTGGTAAATTTCAATAATGTTTTTTAGAGAGCGCAAGCCACATACCTTCTTGTGGCGGTGCTGAGTCATCGCAAGCATAGCAGTCATTTGCGCTCGAATCAGAGCAGATGTAAAAATTACATCTACTGGTATATAGCTAATCCTCTTACCAGCTTCAATTGCTTCTTCTATACCTCTCTTGGTCAAAGGCACGTCAACGCATCCGGTAAACAAGTTCTTCTCATTCCACAGAGATTCGCCATGCCGAATCAATATCAAAGCAGACTCAGCTAAAAACAAGTTTAGAATACCCGCCAATAAGAAGATAAAGCAAAAGCATTAAAGCCCTCTTTCTCAATCAGAATGAGTAATTAAAAATTATGACAGAATTGGGCTATTGACACATAATTTACAGCGGAAGTATATGCATAAGTTATCAGATATCGAGCAAACAGAACAACATTTGTAGTGCAACACACAGATACCACGAATCATCTGGAAAACTATCACTCACTTGATGAGTCCTGACAAATATTAAGAACATCGTTAACTGATGTAGAATCCGCAGTAGAAGAATAGGATATTGATCCATGATTAAGGTGCAGCTTATGCTGGAGAGATGTATGGAACTCCTTTCGGAAAAGTGCAGTTTTGCCTTCCAAATGCCTTGAGAGGAATCTCACAGAGAGATTCCCTAATCCTGTGGAAAAGCTAGAAGCATCGGAGCCCAAACCATGAAGCCCCACGGAATGGTAAGAAAAAGCAGCTGCCATACTGATAATCCAATGGACCACGAACAAAAACACATTAGTATTTTCATCAGAAGAATGAACCAGAATCTCTCCCACTATAAAGATTGACAAGATTTTTGTAAGTCTCTGAACTGGTTATATTTCACTTAAAAAAAAATTCGTTCTTTCCCGGTGATCTCGAATTAAAAATAGCTATGGGGAAAGTGCGTGTCAAATTAGCATAACCAAAGTTTTCAGAATAATCACATAAGTTACATTCTTCCGTTCCCTAGAGATTTCGAATCCCATGACAAGAATCCACTAGGGTGCGACCCCGTAAGCCTTGTTATACATACAGTTCGGGGTGGGGAAGCAATATTAACGACCATCAATAGCCTATGACATCACAGTGAGAAGTATCAAACGTGTTACAGAGCAACTGAAATCTGAATAATACCCAAATGTCAAATTAGGGGATTGACATAAACTTACATGGATCGCTGACGGGGTGGAGAAGCTGAAACTGAGAACGCTCGAGACAATCTTAACAGAGAGAACGATGGAACTCTGCTTTTCTTTGTTTCCCCTCTTCTTTAAGAAACGATTGCGTGAACTGAAACGCAGTACAGCAAAGTAAAACTGGAAAGGGAAAAGAAGCCGGGAAGCATCGAAAGTGTGGCGTGGCGGTTTCTTTTCAGTTTTCAAAGATCACCCGCTCCTGCTCCGACGGCGATATTCGTTTTACAAAATGCCGACGCTGCACGCTGGTCTCTACGGCGTCGTTTTGAATATGATAGTCGATATACATCATTTTCAGACCATATTCTTTTTTTGCCAGCTACTTCTAGACCATCCTATTTGTATTAATAAATACAATGAATATATTAAATACAAAGTATTGAAAACCGGACCAGTAATTGAACCGGTCAAGAAAATAGGTCAAAGGTCAACGGGTCAGATGTCAAACTGGTAAGAAATAAAGAAAATAAAAAATAATTTAAATTTTTACTAAGAACTAGATATTAATATAATATCTTGAAGTGCTAGTAAAATAATCACATATTTACAATTTCTTATAATATCATACTACTAAATCACTAAATTTTCATCCCAACAAAATATCAAAATAGATATATGAACATAATTATTCAATCACTAAGTACTAATTATCAACAGTTTTTAAAAAAAAGTCATCAAAATAAACTTTTTTTCAAAAAAAAAAGGCAACCAAGATACTACCAAAATCACTAAATATTCATCTCAACAAAATATCAAAGTATGATAAAAAAAAATATTCCTCCCTATAGTTAAATATCAACGGCTTTTAAAAAAAAATCATCAAAATATTTTTTTTTAAAAAAAAAGGGAACTAGGATAACCCACCAAATCGAGTGGGTTACCCGGGTCATTATCGGTTTGTCCCAAGATGATCTGGGTCACACCGAGTCAGTTCACTTCCGTTTTAATGCTCAATGGGATTGGTTACGAGGCCGATTCGTCAGTTTCCGATCTGAACTAGCCGGTCCAATCCGGATTTCAATACACTGATTAAATATGTTGCAAAATAACTCATTAAAAAATTCACAAAATTACATGAAGACACCGATGCGTGGAAGGTGGAACATAATTTAAAACCTCTTAAAATTTAGCTTAACTCTTTAGAACGGGGGGTGGGGCCAATTCCATAAGTTACAAGTCAAATGAGGAAAATTTTTGGCGGTTTATCATGATATATGAGTTCAAATTAATTAACAACGAAATATCGTAGGGTTCATCTTAAAAAACTATGAGATTTAACATAATTAAAGAGGTGTTTGGAAGTACTTTTTAAAAACACTTTTTGGCAAATTGAAATAAACTTTTTTACATATTTACTTTGTATATTGTAAAATTATTTTTAAAATCATAGTTTTGTTTTTATCCAAACACCCTCTAAGAAGTATTGAAAAAGGGAAATGTATTTTTGAATTCTGTGTGTATTTCTGAATATAGAAGTGTACATATATAGGAATTAGATTTCCTTTTGCAGGATAGCTAGAAATCTGATCCCATTAAATATGATTGATTACATATGATTTGCCACACTTATTGACCGAGATTCTAGGTACTAGGAAAGGAAAGGGTAGAAGATATAGGGATATGATTGCAACGACTAGTAGATAGGTCTTTGATTCTAACACTCCCCTTAAGGCTGGAGAATAAATATCTAACATTCCCAGCTTGCTTCGAAGACCTTCAAACTGGATTATTGCTAATGGTTTTGTCATTATATCCGTAATTTGATTAGATGATCTAATGTAGGACAAGTTGATGATGCCTTCCTCTAGTTTTTCTTTGATGAAATGTCTGTCAATCTCCACATGTTTAGTTCTGTCATGGAAGATGGGGTTTTTAGTCATTTCAATGCTAGCTTTATTGTCGCACACTACAAGTAGAGTGGGCCTTCATAAGTGATTCTGAGTTCTTTTAAGAGTCTTGTGATCCATATCCCTTCACAAACACCAAGAGCTACTACTTTGAGTTTTGATTTTGCAGTAATTCTTGACACCACTAGTTGTTTCTTGCTTCTCCATGTTACCAAATTTCCCCACACATGTGTACAGTATCCTGTGGTTAACCTCCTGTTTTCTAGGGATCTGTCATGATCTACATCTATGTAAATCTCTATATCCCTTCTTCTATTTTTCTTGAAGAAAATGCCCTTTCCTGGGTTGGGTTTTAGGTAACTTAGGATTATGAGTACTGCCGCTATATATTCTTCTTGTGGTTGGTGCATGAACTGACTAACTACTCCTATTGTGTAGCTGATGTCAGGATGTTTGTGTGTCAAGTAGATTAGTTTCCCTACTAGTCTTCTATATTTCTCAAAGTCAACTGGGGTGGCACCTGGTTTGACTTCTAAATTACATGAAGCATCCATAGGTATTTCGCTTGGTGCAGCTCCAAGCATTCTTGTCTTGTAGAGGAGGTCCAATGTGTATTTTCGTTGGGACACATTAATTCCTTTCTTAGTTCTTGCCACCTTTATGCCTAAGAAGTATCTCATCTGACCAAGATCTTTTACTTGGAATTCAGTTGCTAGTGCTTTCTTTAGGGATTCTATTGATCCTCATCATTTCCGGTGATCACAATGTCGTCCACATAGACAATTAGGATAGCGACTCCTTTAGTTCTGTGTCTCATAAACAAGGTGTGATCTACCTGGCCCTGTGAGTATCCAATCCTCTTTAGCACCTTGCAAATCTGTCAAACCAAGCCATTGGAGATTGCTTTAGCCCATATAAGGATTTTCTGAGTTTGCATACTTTGGTGGTATTTTTAGGTTTCCGTACCCTTAAGGGACTTCCATGTATAACTCCTCTTCTAGGTCTTTATTTAGGAAGATGTTCTTCACATCTAGTTGATACAAGGGCCAATCTAGATTAGCTGGCACAGAGAGTAAGATTTTAATTGAGTTGAATTTGGCCACTAGAGAAAAAGTTTCTTGGTAGTGGATCCCGTAGGTCTAAGTGTAGCCCTTTGCAACAAGTCTTGCCTTATATTTATTCAAACTGTCATCTAGGTTGAATTTTAGTGTGAACACCCACTTACATCCTACCACTTTTTTCCCTAGTGGTAATGGGGTGATGTCCCATGTTTGGTTTTCCTTGAGAGCTCGTGGTTCTTCTTCCACAGCTTTCTTCTAATTTGGGTTGGTTATAGCTTATTGGAAGGTTTCTGGTATCTTTACCTATGCACTGTTAGCAACAAAGTTTTTCATTCAAGTAGATAAGTTCCCATAAGAGACAAACCTTTGGATGGGGTATTGGGTGCAAGCTCTTACACCTTTCCTTAGAGCAATAGGCCATCCCACTTCTTCAAGATCTAACCGTATGTTAGACTCATGGCCATACCTTGTAGTGGGAACATCTCTTTCAGGTTCTTCTTCTATGCCATGATTACTATTGAGGCTGTTCGTGTGTTCTTGATTTGTTTGGGGTGAGTGCTCGAAACTGTTTAATATACTAGGTATTATTGCAAGTTTGTATGGTAGTGGTTTTGGGCCTGTTTGGCTATTTAAGTGTGGTTTTAGGTCTATGTGATGGTGATTCAGGTCTTTCTGGTTGTTCTAGTGCTGTTTTAGGTCTGTATGCCCGTGTGTCAGGTCTGTTAGGTAGTTCTGGTACTGTTTTGGGTAAGATAGTAGGTTCAAGTTCCTGAATTAGCCATTCTGTAGCTCCATAGTTCTCCCCCTGAATGGGTAATTTATGGTAGTAGGCATCTTCCTCATAGAAAACTATATTTTTAGTTATGTGAATTGTTTTGGTGATTGGGGAGTAGCATTTATACCCTTTCTGTATCGGGGAATAACCTAGAAAAACGCATTTTTAGCTCTTGAGTCCAATTTTTCATTATTTCTGTACACAAAAACAACACAGTCAAAGATTTTGGGAGGTAGTTGATTTATGAGTGGAGAGTAGTTAGGGTAGCTTTCTAGTCATTGTTGAACCAGAGATTTATAGTTAAGGACGTTAGAGGGTATTCTATTTATGAGATACGCTAAGGTCAACATTACATCTCCCCAAAACAAGTTAGGAACGTTCTTTTCTAACATAATGGCTCTGGTTACTTCCAACAAGTGTCTATTCTTTCTTTTGGCTATCCCATTTTGTTGGAAAGTATAAATACAATAAGTTTGATGATGGATGCCTTGTTGTTTAAGAAATTTCTTAAAAAACTTGCTTAGGTATTCCTTGGTATTATCACTTCTCTAAACTTTGATAGAAGTTTGAAACTGAGTTTTTATAAACACAAAATTGTTTTTTGAAAGTCTCAAATACTTCATATTTTTCTTTAAGTAGGAAGACCCACGTCATTCGAGTATAATCGTCAATAAACATAACAAACCAACGGTATTAGAGAGAGTTTTTGTTGTGGCTGGACCTCAAATATCGCTATGGATGAGTGTAAAAGGAGCGGTGGGCTTGTAAGATTGTTTTGAATAAGTGCTTCATGTTTGCTTAACTAACTGACAAGTATCATAGCTGACAGAAAAATTGTTTTCTTTATTGAATAGATATGGATACAAATGCTTCATATAGTTAAAGTGAGGGTGGCCTAACTTATGGTCCCAAAATAAGTTATTATGCATATTGAAATAGTATAGTCCATCCCACTCTTTAGCTTTGCTAATCATCCTCCCCGAGGCTAGATCCTGAAAAATGCAGCCAAAGTCATAAAAAAGGACTTGATAGACCTGATTTTTGGTTAGTTTGCTTACTGAAATGAGGTTACAGGGAAGTTCAGGTACAAATAACACATTATGTATGATTAGGTGTTTAGATAACTTAACTACTCCAAGACCACACACACGTGACACGTCCACTAATGCCATTTGCTACCATAACCTTTAGGTTTTCATGACAATGCTTGATAGTTGTAAAGAGGGATTTGTTACCAGTCATATGATCTAAGACTCTATAATCAACAATCTATACATCATCACTAGTCACCATAGCATTTAGGGCAATTATAGAGTTACCTCATTTTACTAAGTTGATATTAGAAGTGCTTATTTGTTTGTCCAGAATTTTCCTCAACAATTGTACCTCTTTTGGGCTTAGCTTTTCTTCTTCTTCTTCCTTCTTTTCTGCATGATAGCTTTTCCTTTCTCTTCTTGATTTATTGTTCAGATTTGGTAGCTTCCCATGTAATTTCTAGTAAATCTCTCTAGCATGACCCCTTTTACCACAGTGATCACACCATTTTTCATTTTTTTCTTTTCAGTTCTATTGTATTTGTATCCCTAATCACCAGTGCTAAGGCCTTATTTTGTGCTACTAGAATCTGTGTGAGTTGTTTTATGCTTTCTTCACATTTCACCATGTTAAAGCTTTCAAAAAGTGATGGCAATGGTTTTAAACCCATGATCCTGCATCCAACATCATCAAAGGTGTCATTTTATCCCAATAAGAACTCATAAGTTCTTTCTGTTTCAATAAGTTTTCTAAAGTACTGAGCATTATCCACACACTTCCATGAGTAAATTTCAAACCAATCCAATTGTTGCCAAATTCCCATCAAGGCACTATAGTTTTGGGTTACAGTCATTGTACCTTGCTTGAGTTCCCGAAGCTGTTTCTTTAGGTGGTACAGTGTGACTGTATTATCTATTGAGGAGTAAGTCTGTTTGGCAGCGTCCCATATCTCCTTTGCTATTTGTGCGAGTAGATACCCCTTACCAACCTCAAGAGTCATTGAATTGCATAATCAAGTCATGACCTGGTTGTTTTCTGCAAACCAGGTGTCAAACATCGCATCACCCGGCATGGGTTGTGGAGCTTGGCCATTGATGTATTTTTCCTTGCGTCTGCCTTGGAGGTACATCAGAATGCTCTGTGACCACTGGAGATAGTTACTACCATTCAGTTTGTGTGTTGTGACCAGTTGTGGACTTTTGGTCATCGAGGTAACCTCTGGTGCCATAATCGAGCTACTAGAGCTCTGGGTATTTCTAGAATTTGACGCATTAGAGGGAGTCGATGTGGTCGACTCACTTACAATGGTTGAACTAGCCATTAGGGCTATCGAGTTCGGCCCTCTATTTGTTGGTTCTGCCGTAGAGACCCAAATAGATGTGGGAATTGATCGCTATTCATTTTCCTCTTTTCTGGTGCTCTGATACCATATTGAAAAAGGGAAATGTATTTTTGAATTCTGTGTGTATTTCTGAATGTAGAAGCGTACATATATATGAATTAGATTTCCTTTTCAGATAGCTAGAAATCTAATCTCATTAAATATGATTGATTACATTTGATCTGCCACACTTATTGACTAAGATTCTAGGTACTAGAAAAGGAAAGGGTAGAAGATATGGGGATATAATTGCAATGGCTAGTAGATAGGTCTTTGATTCTAACAAGAAGCTTTGCAGAATCACATAAATTTTTTTCTAACCTCCTATTGGCTATTGCCGAGGAAGCAATCCCATTCAAAATATTATTAGGTATTAAATGTGAACAATTTTCAATAAAAATTCAAACATTAGTTTACTATGTTGTGAGAGAATTTTCTGCTAGACCCAAAGCCTGTTAGTATCATATAGTTTATCTATACACAATTATTGTTGCTGATGAGAAATATATTGAAAAAAATTCAGAAGGAAAGATATTTGAGGAATTTGTTTAACAACCATTGACTTTCCATAACAATCTTCCAAATATATCCTTGTTTACTTGTTTATTTGTCAATGTGAATATGACTATATCATCAATATTCAAATACATAATAATTTTTCCCTTTCTTTCGATCATAATTAGCTCAAATTTATATAAGCATAGCATAAGCATCCTTACTAGACATGTTTGATAGCACCTAGTCTATCCGTGTGATTATATTATTACACTGGTTGTTAATTTAGTACCACTCTAGTCCTAAATGTAAGTCACTCCCGCTACTACAAAAAAGATATTTAATGACGGTTAAAATGAGTTTTTCATGACGGTTTTATGAGTGACATTTATGCTATTGACATAAAATATAAAGGATTTCACAGTGGTTGAAGAACCGCCGTGGTATGTGACTTTTCACGTTGGTTATATAAATAATCGCCATGAAAAGTCACATCAACAACCATGAAATTTTTTTTTTAATTTACTTTCATCCTATTAATCAGGATGGAACAGAAGAACAAAGCCACAAAAGAAGGGGTTTGAAAATCAATTAACCAATAACTTCTTACTAGTTAAAAGCATTCTAATAAAGCAAACATAGATTCTTTTTCACTGTAATAATGCCATTTTGCTTCACCTTCTACTACTAGATCAAAGCTATTAAGATTTAATAAAAATAAAATCAAAAACTCATATTTGATAAAATTCATGAATTTCCTGTCAAACCACAAAAACTATGAAACCCATGAAAAGAATGAAGGAGAAAGTGTGAAAAACTCACAAATAAGAATGAACAAGATGAGGCAACGTCAACAGTGACAGTGATGGCAACAACGACAGTGACGGTGATGGAAGAACATGGCGGAGATGATAGAAGCAAAGGATAAAGGCCAACAAAGGTAGGAGGAGGGAGAAAATCGAGTGAGGAGGTAATGAGGAACTATAAACTGTGACTCTGAAAAGTGAAAACTATCATGCGATGGATAGGGTTTTAAAATTTTGATATACTTTTTAAGGCGGTTATTTGTTAAAAGTATTTTTTACGGCGGTTATTTAAAAAACCGTCGTGAAAAATAAAATTTCCTTCTCTATAATTACAAAAATACCACCGTCATGTTTTTTATAGTGTTTTTTCTAATAACCCCTATAAATTAGCATTATGAAAGCTCTTTTTTGTAACAGTGTTCTAAGAAAAAGTTTTAATCCTTAATATAAGTCATTTGTAATATATTTAGTGCCTATTTTTCAATTTCACCTTATTTAATTCTCATTGAAAAGAGAGAAATAAAAGAGTGATAGGAGTCCCAAAGATATGAGACTAATGTATAGATACAAAGAAGGAAACTTTAACAAGGGTAAAACTAAATTTTTTTTTCATTTAATGCATATTATGGTATATGAGAATATGTTGCAAGTAACTTATATTAAGTATTATCAGAGTAGTAATTATCATAATAATCATTCACATACTTCGAACCATTTAAGTTAGCTCATATGATATGCTCATGCTGGCGAAAGAGAAAACACACATATGGTAAGAATAACTGATCGGTGTCAATAATAAAAATTCAAATCCTTGTTTCATAAAAGGAGAAAAAAGATTATGCTAATCTCATTTATTAAAACTTAATTGGGTATTATTAATTAACACAAAACAAAACACCGTTGACTCCGAACAAACAAATCAACAATATCTGTATGATGAGAAAGGCTATATTTAAGAGATCTCACGCAATTAAACATACAGATCTTAGATCTAATTAACAAAGTAGCAAATTAAGAATGTTACAAACCTTAAGAAGCAAATAATAATGAAGAAATGAATGTGCATGCAAGAAAGAAAATGAAGACGGATCAAGCATCATCAGCCAAGTAGTATTGAAGGAGCTGGTAGCATTCAGGCAAAGGCACGTCCTTGTAGCATCCCAAAGCATTGGCATAGTGAAGATCATTGACGACGCCATTCTCAGTACGAGTGAGCACGATGCTGGCTTTGCTTCGTCCTGGATCTGGCACTTTGCAATCTGCAACCGGACTGCTCACAAACAATATCTCACATAAATGATCCCCATGATCATGCTCAACCTGTATGCTGTAAGTTCCTGTAGAATCTGTCACCCCTTCTTTTCTGTATTCCACCGCCAAGCTCTCCCTGTCTTTGCACTCAACTCTCACCTTCGCCCCTACCAGTTCACAAAACAACAGAAATTACTGTAGGATTATTGGATTGCTGAGTAAGAGACGAGCGATATAAGATAACTGATATATATATATATATATATATATATATAGAGTTTTTGTTGTTACCTGCAATGTAAGTGGTGACATTGGTCTCGAAGCCGGCACGGCAGGTGTCACAGTAGACGCGACCCTTGACGCGGAAAGGGCCGTGATGTGAAGTGGAAAAGGGAAGGACGATGCAGAGACAGAGGGCCACCAAGAAGAAAGCTTTTATGGCCATTATTAATTGCCAGTGAGATCTTTGATGGAGGGAAGAAGAAGAAGGGGCTGTGGGATTGTTATATAGTTGTGGAAGTTTGAACTGTGATATTTAAGTGTTATGTATATTTAGCAGCATATGATCCTTCCACTACTTGCGCCTTATAAAGTGAAGTCGTGTCTCAAGCTTTCTCAACTTGCATCGCTGCATTCACATGCTTCTTCGGCCTCCACTTGGTACTTCTTTTGTATTATTACTCTTTTAAAGCGTTTGGATGTAAGATAAAAAATTGGGTCAATTGATGAGCAGATCCATTGGGAGAGGAAGGGGTTGACTTTATTAGCACTTCTCCTGAGAATAAATTGGGCAGAATATTGATGTCATGGATCCCAAGAAATCCATCTGCTATATTAAAGAAGAATTACAGCCACACAAACATGTGCTGGCTATTTGTGCTAAGCATGGAAACTTCAAGAGTGCTTGTTTGTTACGTTGTTTTTACAACGTAATCCGCAGAACAATTTGAAGGTTGAACTGCATATTAAATATCAAATAATAATCTGTAATATTCATCCTCTCAACTGCTACTTCTATAAAGCTACGCGTACTAACTAAAACTTCCATTATTTTGATTGTGTTTAGACTACTCGTGGAAAAATATAACATAGCTTTAAATTTCAGCATTGTCCTCAGTTGCCGGATATTGAGACTGCCCGATAAGCCCAACATAACCTGTCCGAACTCCCAAGTATGTTGGATCGAAACGGACAAAAAAGCCCAAAATCAGGCCTATTGATTTATCATGCAGTCTCAGCCCGCTCTGAACTCTTGCTTGGACCAAATCCCCGGAAAAAAAAAACCAAAAAAAATCTTGTGGCTTCTTAATTAATTCCATATTCAGTCAACGGGAGTTAGATCTAACAAAAAAATAAATGCTTTATGTAACAAGCCAATGTTCTAATCCTTGCTAAGATAAGTATCTATATTTAGTGTTTAACAGTGTCTCAAATAGGATTCCTTCTAATAGAAAAATATATGTGCTTAGTCCAAAAAAAATATAGATTCAAGAATATTAAATTATTAAAATATACCCCCTCTACTCTTTTTTTACAAATTACAATTTTTTGAATAGGTTTCAAACTTTTTTATTAGTTGTATTTTGGAGATATTTAAAATTTTAGTTCAAATCTTTTTTTATTATACCCCAATCAATTTAATTACATGTATGTCTCATCTTTCTTCTCATCTTTCTTCTCATCCTTCTTCTCATCCACTCTCTCTATGAAGAAGAGCATTTTTTTTTAAAAAAAAAGATATTTCTTAACATTTATTACCTTTAATCAATTTTAACTGATTTTTTAATCTACTTAATATGGTTATTCATAACTTATAGAAAGGATGGAAAGGAATAATTTCATTAGCTATTGATGTATAAGATTTATGTATGGTAAAGTGGTCCAGTTTAACCAACTGTAACTGAAAACTTGAAGAACATAGTATAGCTTCAGTCATGGGGGACAGTATTGAATAAAGCATATAGAAAAGGAGTGAGAGGGACCATTGAAAATGTATGAATAATTCATGAATATGGCATTCACATAGGTTCATTATTAGTGCACAAAGCCAACATAGTATCAACACTAAATATTTGGCCTTTATACTTTTCAGTACTGCATTGCACTGTGAGTTGCACCTCAATTTTTTTGATTCAGGTGAAGAAAGTACTCATCTCGGTCTTAAATATAGGTTAAAAGATAGGCACATGAACTTAACATAATGAATATACTTTTGCCCTTTTAAAAAAAAAAAGTATTTCAACTATAATATCCTTCTTTAATCACTTTCTCCATATAATAATTTAAAAAAAAAAAAGTTGACATCGATGCATTTGTTCGTATTCTGCTCCATCATTGTACTTTCTTTCCATTTTCTTTCAATCATGCTGGTAAATGATTTATTTTTTCCCCTTGTCATCTTTGCAGAGTATAGTGTAAAGTTAAACTGTCAAAGTGCAAATGGAAAAAAAAAAAAGTAAATTGGGTATGTGCCCTTTGTTACAATGCGTTCTGCCTCTACTCCAAAACTATCCCCATCATAGTATCAAAGCTACAAAGTGCATATTTATTTTCTCTTCTTTAGACTAGTGGTAAAAATCACAGTTTCGAATCAAATTTTTTTCCCTTGAAGTCAAGTACTGTAAATAGTCACACCCTCAAGAATATATGTAGACCATCCAACCTCCCTCCAAGGGAAAGGACATTTGAACCATTGGACCAAATAATCACTGGCAAATTCAATTTTAATCTTGACATAATAGTAAAGCAGACAGGATTTACCCAAAAAAAAGTACTCCCTCCAATTTTAAATAAAAAACCCATTTTATAGCGTAAATTGTACTACAAAATTAATTTTATATTCATGACCAGAAAAGTACAAGAGCTATATATTTAAGATTAAAAAAATAGTTTTTTTGTCATAAGTCGTATAGCTATTATGTCCATAGAAGATTTTAATTCACAATCTCGTGCTAAAAAAACAAATTCAAGAAGTTTCTCCTATAAACATGTATGTATATGTTTTTTTCTTTTGAAAAAATTTAATTGAGTTGGATTCCAAGACTCATTAGAGCAAGAACATACCTTAAAATCTAAAAAATGTTCACTAAAGTATTTACAAACTCCTATCAACAATATCCTCATATTGACAGTAATATTTAAATTCAAGATCTTACAGGTTATGAATCAACTCCTTACACATATCTGTGTGTTTGATAGAGATAGGATATGTAAGGTGAGAAAAATGTGGAAGAAATAGGTGTGATCATGAAAGCTACAGTGAAAGGAGTGTTGGGTAGCGAAGACTTTTTCAAATCACAATCTGAGTGGGGACGAACAAGCACATACCAGATTCCCAGCAAAGAGAATCCCTTCTTAATTAACCTCACAAATCCCAAACATTTACATAGTAATCCTATTTTTAATTAAACAAAAAATGCTGTTCGAATCTACGTACGCTTCTCAGTCGGCTCAAGAAGGAGAGACAGGGTCTGATGAAGGCGTCAGAAACATATATTTATTTTTAATTGCTAACGTAATTTGTTTGAAGCTTTGAAGCTTCCTTCTTGCTTTCTCATAGTCATATCAACATTGAAAAATACGAACTTAATTACAAAGTAAGTTATCAGACGTCACCCACGAATTTTATTTAAACGATACTTGAACGTCTTGCTTTGCTTGGCTTTTACATGCAGGCCAATTTATAATACGGCTTCCTTCACAATAGGCACATCAATCTGCATTAAAAAAAATAATTAATTACCAACTCACACACACACACACATATCATCCCCTCAGTGTATCATAAAATAATGTATAATACACACTAATTTTATTGATTAGTAAGAAAATATATCATAATAGAGACATTACAAAGCTTCCGTACCACACAAAAGTCCTAATTATAAAACCTCATTTATAGGTTACATATAATATTTTATGATTAAAACTGGAGGTAGTATTTAATATAAGTTGAGTTAAAAGATCCCAACAACACTCAGCTTTCAGTCTATCGTATGCAACTTTATTATTAAATGGCCTTGAGTGGAATCTGATGGTCGGTGTTGAAGGTGTGATTGCTTGCCAAAAGCTATATCTAAATCTGCCCTAATTTAATCATGAGCTTTTGTTTTGGGAGAATTACATTACAAGACCCGTGTAACTATGTAAAATTTAAAATCAGGACCCCAAAAAAAAAATCTGATAACACATTGCAGGCATCAGGGACCAATGAAAATTACTTGGTGAGGTAAAAGACTAAACTACCCTTTATTGAGATGAAGAATGTCTATGAAAAACCCTTTTCTCAAGAGAGCGCCACTCACACTCTAGTAATTATTTTCTTTTCTTTTCTAATTACTGATGCTCTCTTCTTCAGTTCAATTTTGGGGTAGTTTGGTCATTTACCTTACCAAATTATTTTCATTGTATTGAAATTCTCCCTATAAATATTTTTCTTGTACTGAACCCAGATCATGGCTCCTCAGGTATCTTCTTGGCGGGCCTAGATCCCTCACTTTGTTTTATATTCATCAATTTATATATTCACAGCAAATAATATTAGAAGATACTTCGATATTAATATATTTGGGAAGATAATTGGATGTTAATATATTTGGGCTTCACATGTATTTCATCTAAATATGATTAGCTATGGGAAAAATCCCAAAGAAATACCTCTAAAATTTTAAAATTCCAAAGTAAAAATGATTACAAAAATATATTGTCATTTGTTTTTCAAACGTTGTTAATTGTTATTAAAATATAATGAACAAGACTGATTTAAAATTTTAAAATTTAAAGATATTTTTTTGGGATTCTTCCTTAACTGTTTCATGTATGACATTTTAATTGACAAGATTTTCTTCTATATTTTGTATGATATATACTAGCTATTAGATCAATGGATGTGTGCTTTAAAGTTTTATTATTATGAAAGAAGAATGGAAATGTGACTCTCACACTTACATGCTATCTCTGGTCCTTCATATAAGAGCTAGTTTAACATTTAATTTGATCCTAAATATAAGATTCCAGTTCATCTTATTTCTCATATTTATCTTTTTTTTTTATATATTACAGAGGCAAGTTAAACTTGAGCTACTAACTACTGCGGTCCGCCATAACCATATTTGGCTGCGCGGAATCTAATCCTAGTTGGTTCAAACAACCAGTAGGCGGATTTGTCCATACACAATATTCCTCCATCAAATTGTGGGCCATTCGTGCCAAGAAGTCGGCACATCTGATTGTTTCCCTGGGTGCATGTCTTATCTTTACGTCCCAGTCTGAATATATCAGCTCCCTAATCTCTTCTATTTCTGCCCAATAAGGGTGCTGGGGTCCGCCATCCTGCATTAACAGTTGGATAGTCTCCGTAGAATCCGTATAAGCTACCACTCTCTGGTATTTGTATTGCTTGCACAATCTTAAACCGGTCAGCAAAGATGTTAGTTCTGCTGCTGTAGACGGCATGTATCCAAGTTTTCTCTGGAAGCCAACTTTCCAGTAGCCTTGGTGGTCTCGAACAACTCCTCCTCCAGCTGCTCTTCCTTGATTGTTGACCGAGCCATCCGTGTCTAGTCTCACTGTCCCCTCTTCTGGTAATTTCCATCGGTCTTCCACTACTCCATTGTAGTTGAATACCAAGTGTTTGTATTTCCCTTGCTCCACCGCTTCCGTCATCTGTAGGATAGCCATATGTTTTATCTCTGATGCTTGTTTTCGGGTACCGTTCAGGGCTCCGCTGCATCTATTCTTCCAAAGCAGCCAGCATAAGGAACAAAACAATTTGGTCTAGTGCCATCTTCTAGCCATTTTTTTGCCCCACTCCACTCTGAAGTTTCTTTCGAGCCAGACCTGCAAATCGGATTGAAAAAACTCTAAAAGCTTGTTAGCTTGCACAAATTTAATCCACACATTACGAGCAACCTCACAGTCTCTCAATATGTGTATGATATTTTCCTCTCGTTGACATTGAAAGGGACACTCCGCACTCACTGAAATCCCTCTTTGAGCTCTTAGGGAATTAGTAGGCAGTCTTTCATGGATTACTTGCCAAAAGAACATTTTTATTTTTTCAGGGACCGGCAGTTTCCAGATTTCCCTCCAACGCCCTGTATCTTGGTGACCAATCCTGTTGGAGATTTTCTTATAAGCAGACTTAACCGAGAAGTTGCCATCTGCGCTTGTTCTCCAACTGAACGTATCCCGCTCTCCTCCTCTCGGTGGGCATGTTTGAGTAATGATCTGAACCACCCATTCCGGTAGAAACTCTCTCCATTTTACAAGGTTCCACTGTCCATTCCTGAGTGTAAACGATTCAACCGTCGCACTGGGGTCTAGAGCGTGAAAGTTGTGGCTAACTAGATTGATGAGCGGTGTATCCAGAGCAGTCCATAGGTCCCACCACACTTTCGTAGATTTGCCATCGTTGACCCTCTTCCCAACTCCTCTGTCAAATTCCCCCCAAACACTAGTAATGCTTCTCCACACCACTGAAGCGGCCTTTCTCGGAAGTATTATGGGATGTGTCTCCGCACCACAATTGTATTTCGCTTTGAGGCATTGTACCCATAAGGCATTTGGCTTGGTAAGTAAACCCCAGCAGAGCTTCATTATTAAGGCTTTGTTCTGGCTTTGAAGATCTTTAATGCCGAGACCTCCCTCCTCCTTGCTGTTTTTCATGGTCTCCCAGGATATTAAGTGCATCTTCCTTCCTTCTTGGGTTTGGTTCCACATGAACTTTCTGCTGTTCTTTTCTATTTCCTTCAATACCCCTTTGGGCAGGAGCATCGACTGCATTAAGTAACTTGGCAAAGTAGAAATTACTGACTTAATCAGTACCGCTCGCCCTGCCATGGTTAGGAACGAACTTTTCCAGCCTGCCAATCTCCTTTGAGTTTTCTGAATTAACGGGAGGAATATCGCTTTAGTCATTCTCTTGTGAAGCAACGGTACCCCAAGATACTTCCCCATGTCTGCAGTGATTCCAATACCTAATTGCTGGCATAACTCCCTTGCTCTATTGAAGCATACATTTTTGGAGAAGTAGGCTTTCGTTTTTTGAAGGTTAATCCGATGTCCCGAAACACTGCAGAAGTTATTCAGAACCTCTCTCATCTTTGCCACTTGCCCCGAAGTAGCTCTCCCGAAGAGCAACAGGTCGTCGGCAAAAAACAAATGGGAGATCATAGGGCCCTGTCTGCCAAACCGAATTCCCTTCCAGCTGCCTTCTTGGACTTCTTTTCTGATCACATGTCCCAGCCGCTCCATGCAGAGCACAAATAAATAAGGGCTAAGTGGATCTCCTTGCCTTAGACCCCTGGTAGGAGTGAACTGCTGTGAACATTCCCCATTCCATAGAATCTTCATCGTCGCTGAGGTTGTGCAGGCCATGATCAACCGCACCAAGTCCTCCTTTAGCCCTATTTTGTAAAGTGTATCTTCTAGGAATCCCCAATCCAGTCTGTCGTATGCTTTCTCCATATCAACCTTGACAGCCACAAAGTCTTTTTTTCCTTTCATGGATCTCATGGTGTGTATTGCTTCTTGAGCGATGATGACATTGTCGTTACTTTGGCGACCTGAGATGAAACTACACTGCTCCTGATGCACTATCCTCCCAATCAGTCCTTTAAGTCTGTTTGCAATGATCTTTGTCACTATTTTGAAGATCACATTGCATAATGAGATCGGACGGAAGTCTTTCAGTTGACTTGGATTTTCCAATTTGGGGATCAGTACTATATTCGTGTGGTTTATCTCGGCCACTTTCATCGGGTTTCTCCATATGTCCCCCACTAGGGTACACACCTTGTTCCCAATTATATTCCACTGAGTTTAGAAAAAATGAGGTTGTAACCCATCAGGTCCTGGGGCTTTGAAAGCCCCCATCATGAACGCCGCATTCTTGATTTCCACCATGTTAAGTTCCTTATGAATAAAATAAATATCCTGTGTGGAGAGAGAGGGAAATTCCGCCAACCAGTTTAAGCTCTCACTGACCTGGTCATCCTTCGTGTATAGCTTCTTATAATATAAGGTTGCCATGTGCATCATTTCTGAATGATCAGTCACCCATCGACCATCATCATTTTGCAAAGTTTCAATGTGTTGTTGGCGCCTTCTAATGACAGTGGAAGCATGAAAGAAGCGAGTGTTTTTGTCTCCCCATTGAAGCCAATTACATCTTGATTTTTGAAACCATAATAATTCCTCCTGGGCTGCTAATTTTACATAGTCTTTCCACAGCTTTTTCTCAAGTCTGTAAAACCCAGAGGAGAGCTTGTCCTGTCTGGCTTTATCGATTCCTTCTAGTCTTCGCAAGATTTGCCTCTTTTTTTGTGGTATGCTTCCTACCACCGAGTTATTCCAATTCGAGGCATCCTCCTGAAACGACTTGAACCCAGTGCACCAGTCTTTCGAATCCTAGGCTTGGCGAACCACTTCCTGAAAACCTTCCTCCAGGACCCAAGCTGATTGGTATCTAAAACTTCGTTCCCGGGGCCTGTCAGTAGGGGTATTGATGTGGTTAGAGACTAAAACAATCCGGTGATCTGATTTGAATTTCATTCCGTGGGCAGCTTTGCTCTGAGGGAATTTCAAAGCCCACTCAACATTACTGAAGGCCCAATCTAGCCGCTCTTTAACCCCTTGTTTCTCCCAAGTGAATTTTTCTCCAACCACTGGTAATTCCACTAATTGGGACTCCGAGATGCAGCTTGCGAAATGTTGAAGTGCTGGGAGAATGGGGGCTGCCCCACCCAACTTGTCTGACGGCGTTAAGAAGGTATTGAAATCGCCTACTATAACCCATGGCTCAGTTGTGGCATTAGAGATTACTTTTAAGGATTCCCAAAGCTCTATCCTTCTATATGCCATTGTTTCCCCATAAACAAAAGTTGCATAGAATTTTTCTTTTTTTGGTCTATCATGAATTTGACAGTGAATCATTTGAGTGTTTGAGCAGATGTAATTTATGCCGACTTCATTATCCTTCCAGAGTACCCAAATTCCACCAGCAAAGCCAGAGGCTTCCACACGAATCCAATTCGTAAAACCTGATTTCCTAACCATCTTATCTGCCCTTAAGCCACTAATGCGTGTTTCCACCAGGCAAAGAACATTAATACCGTACTTGATGACGATTTCTTTAATCATACGCGAAAACAGTCTACCACCTGCTCCGCGACAATTCCATGTAGCCATAATCATTGATAACTGTTGGAAAGTAACCGCGCACCTGGCTTACTCTACTGATGGGTCATCATCCCAGGTTGGGTTTTGGCTTTCTGGCCAGTTTCCCATCCCCTTCTGCTGCATATTGCTTACTGGCACTATCGCAAGTGCGTTTTCTCCTGGGTCCACTTCCCCCAACTGTATGATCAAATTATCTCCCTCAGTTCGATCTACCTGCATGTCCGAGTCGCATCTACTGCTATTCATCATGTATGTCTTCTCGCCTTCTATCCCTCCTCCAGCACATGTCCTTGTGTGTATATCACCTGCTACTACAATATGGCTTCTTCGGCCCATGTCTCTGGGCTTTTCATTTACTTTCGCTGTTCTGGGCTTTTGTTCTCCTCTGGTTTTATTTCTTTCATCTACTCCCATTTGGGCTTTTTCCCTTGCTGTCGGCCCACTTGGCTGGGCGTTCTCCTTTCCAAGGCCACTCTGATTAGCCTTGTTCCTTACAGCCTCTTTTCCTTTCTTAGTTCTGTCATGTGCCGCCATTTTCATCTTCTGCCCCTCGTTGCTTCTATTTTCTGCTATATACCTCTGACCCATAGCTCTCAGTTTCAAAGCTGAAGGTTCTGCTTTTGTTTGCGCTGAGTTAGCCTCCGTACTCCCTTCCTCTTCCTCCGCCATATCTTGCAGAGCCGCAAATCTAGTGTTTAGACCGCCAAATTTGCTAGTTCTGACATTTCTTGGGGCTCCCCCCTGAGTCTCCCTTGTCTCGCTCACAGTAACATACCTCGATGTCCGTGCTTTCGCCGGTCTAGTCACCAACATCCAACTACCAAACATCTCGTCGGTGGCCGGCGACTTCCTCGCCTTCTTTTCCTCCTGGTTGCTCCTTTGTTTATCTCTTGTTTCAGTTGCACCCGCCGGTGGTGCATGGCCGACTCCATGGTGTTTAGATCGCTCATCTCCAGTCGTTCCCTCTGCATAGGTCCAGGAGCAGTTTTCTCGCTTATGACCATACCTTCCACACTCAAAGCAAATCAGGTTCAGTCCTTCATATTCTACCTGGTACAAGCGATTTGCTGCAATAACCTTTGGAACTAACTTCTTTTGAAGGTCTATTTCCACACACACTCTTGCAAACCGTCCCCTTTCCACATTCGAAATTCTGTCTGTAGCTTCAGTGCATGTACGCAAGTCCACCCTTAAAGTCTTCCCTATTCTGTTTCCTAATCTGGTGATAAATTTTTTGTTGCAGCAATGGAGTGGAATATTCGGGATCCTAACCCAAGTAGCTATTTTCCTGAGTGGGTTGTTGAAGGGATCAAAGTTCGGGGACCACCTTTGGACCAGGACACTCTGTTGTTGAACCACCCAGGGACCTTCATACAATATCTTCTTATAGACATCAGCCCATCCTTCTTTTTCAGGTAATTTGACTACAAAGTAGTTGTTGGGTATGTCTATCAGGTCAAACTCGACTACATTCCATAAGCGGCCGAGATATCTTTTAAGAAAGTGGACATTGTATTTCCTTCCTAGCACCGTGATGATGAGAGCGGAGTTCCAAGGCCTACACCATTCTGCATATTCCTCGGGTTCTATTGGGACTGTTGGAAATTGTTTCATCAACGCATTGATTTCCTCTGTTTCCTCCGGCATTTCCCATTCTGTATTTAGCACATCCGATAACAGCTCATCCTCCTCCATACCACAGCTTCCATTTGCAACTCCATTGAATCCCAACAGGGAGTCCCGATAGGAGGGTGGCTGGCGACCAGGTGTCTCCATTTTATCTTTCTGTATCTGTTCCTGCACTTCTGGTTCTTTCATCATTTCCTCCTCCTTAGTCGCCTGGGTTTCGTCCATGTGGGTGTCCAGGATAGGTTGGAGTTGTGCAGTCTGTTTTGTCTTCTTCTTACTTCCACATACCAGGGCGTCGGACGGTCTGTCTGGGGGCACTTTCCGGTTAGCCTGATCTTCCATAATCTGTAAATGTTGATGGCACGGATTCCAAGAGAGAGAAACCTCTAATCCCTTTTTAGAAGCAATTTTCTGACTATATTTATCTATTTTTTAAAGTAGTCTTTGTAATAGTTTTAACTAATACATATGATTAGTGAAAATATTTTAAAAAAGATAATACCTATTTATTATAAATAACTAATAAACTTTCTTAATTTATCCAAATTAGTCAACTAACTCTTATATTAAAAACAAGAAATACTACTGCATACTGTCATTGTGCGTGTGTGTGTGACATATTAAAATACATTGTAAAATTAAGTAAGCCTCTCATTCGAGAAAAACCATTACATAAATTAGGGGTGTGTTTTTTTCTTTTTCCTTGGGTTGTAGTGGAGTACGGGACCAGGCCACTTGAAGTAGCTGGTCCCTCAGACAAAAAAGAGTGGTGACTTTATATGAATCTGAAGGACCCACAGTGCTCTTCCATTTCAATTTTATTTCTTTTCAAATCTTTAATAAAGATATGTACACTATATAGTTATTTATTTAGCTAGCATTCCCCAACCTTTTATCGAGTTTAAAGAACAATCATCATAATTATTTGATGGGTTGATAATATTGTTGGTCCTTACAGCTTGACAGAATTTTGACTTTATTCCATACAGTTTCTAATCGTGGCTTTTGATCTATATAGCTTTTATAACAACTAGGCATGAGTTTAATAGTGTTAGCTAATACTATTAAATATAGAAAACAAAACCAAAATTCATTAAAAATACAAGAAGCAAAACAAAAAATCATTAAAAGTATAAGAACTAAACGAGTTTTGGTCTTGGTCCCTATAATTTAAATAAGTTATAGTTTTGTTCCAATGGTGATACGTTGAATTGATATTTGATTGTTGGGTTAAGATGCAGAACTACCCATAAAATATGCTCTCACATGCATCCTGTCTAGCATTATAAAGTTTATCTAGGTGTAAAAATATACGTCAACTTTCAAACAGAGCAAATCTCCCATCTCCATTAATAATCAATAGATTTTATCGCTCTTTTTGCAAACGGTCAATGTAGCTACATCAAGGGAGATGAGAGTTTTTCTATGTTTTCAAAGATTTATATGTACTTTGGCATTAAAGTAAGCTTCATTATGCTGGGTTGGCAAAAAAAAACTTCATGATGCTAGATGTGCATGGATGAACACTACATCAATATTTATTTTCACCTTAACTCTTAATTGTTTGTTTTGACCAAAAAAAAAACTCTTAATTGTTTAGACTGTAGATTAAATTTTTCGATAGTTTGAATTTTTCAAATAAAAACTTAATAAAATCTCAAACAGTCATGTAAAATTTGAATGGTTCAAACTTCAAGTAATAGATGTATATATCCGGCACATTTCTTTTAAAGGTGTGAACGAAATTTATTTACAACCCATAATTCTTTTTTTCTTTTCGATCTCCACATAGCCCCAAATCAGTCTCTTTCAGATTTTAAATGTGCCTAATTATAGTCCTCTTTCTCCAAATTCCAAATCAATCTCCACCTCTCACGCCCTCGTTCCAAAACCTTGCTAATTCAATTTTCTCGTCCTCTGTGTCTGTGTGCGCGCGCGCAAGCTTCATGACAAACTTCATTATTGGATTTTCAACCTCCCCTTGCCAGCCAGCTAGGTGGTCATTTATCACCAGAGAGAAACTGCTTCTTTAATCATCTCTTTCCTTCATCTTCCTATTTTTTAATAGAAGTTCATACTTTAAACTCTGCTAACGTTAAAAGAAAAAGAGACAAATTTTTTTTTTAAAAATTACAAAATCATGGAACATAGTCCTCTTTATCAGTGTTCATAATTGAGAGATGAGTTTATTTAATTTGATGCCTAACAGACGAGCTGCACTAACAAAAAGTCAGATGGATAAAAAAACAGGACAAAGGAAAAAGTAATAGTTTCCAAGAAAAATTAATAAAAGAGTGCGTCTTGACATCACAAGACGAAGCCTCTCGTTCGTTAATTTAGTTTTTTTTAGGGTAGAAATTAATGGTTTGTGGCTGCTTATGTATGCCTCAGATATGGCATTCAATTGGAGGGTAGTGATGAAAAAGGAGTATGCAAAAAATTATATATAATTAATTATGTATCATAAAACTCTATAAGATTCTTATATTATTATTGTATATATTTGTTTTGGATGCTTCTCATCATGTGTCATGTCGCATTTCAATACGAAGCCAACACTTGTTTCTGTTTTATTGCATTTTGTCGACAACCTTTCTTTTTTCATTTAGTTGGGTCTCACCTTTTTGCAACCATGAAAGCTAATTTTCAGACTATTATTAATTTAGTTCGTCACAAAGCCAATTTGCATTTCATTCTTTTAACAAGACCTCCAAGAAATTAACAAAGACAGCTAGCGTACTTGCTTTGGCCTTTATAGAGAGAAATTGAGTAGTAGAAAAGGCAATAAAATCAATTGAATTAAACGTTATTGGCCTTGTGACCTAGCTAGTATCATGAAACTTCTCTGATAAGTTGAAATTTTTGGGTTTGATCTCACATTATTAGTATATGTTTTTCTAATTAAAAGAATAAATTGAATTACAATTTACAAAGACGACACATTCATTGCCATAGAAACATTGCGTGTTTGACAATTACCTTTACTAAAACAATTTATGGGAAACAAATGAACGCTAAATAATATGATTAATTGTAACCGCTATATGTAGGCATTAATTTTAGTAGACAAGGTGATAATAATAGATGAGATCTTTCGTAAGAAAATGTTTTTGAAAGAATATAATTACTCCTCATTTGGAACCTGACCTAATAATATATGATTCTAAATATCGGATGATTTGTGAAAAAATTGTATGAATATTAATTTTATATTTGATATTTATGAAATTTGATAAAATGTTTGCTATTATAACAAGAAATGAAAATGTGATTAATGACTTCGTAACACCGTTGCAGGTCATTTAAGTCCTAAGATCTTTATTGCATAGTCGGTGGATATTCATGTTCTCGGTCTGTTTACGCATCACACACACTCAGACGATATATATGTGTGTGTATATGTTCATGTGCATGTCTACATACATAATACCCTGTCCTAAATATAGGAACTAGTTGAAAATTTAATGTAATCTAAGTATAAGATATTAATTTACTTTGTATCTCATATTTATTTATTTATTTCAAAATAATTGTCATGATATTTACACATGTTAAATTACTTCTAATCTAATGAACATGATTAACAATGATAATTAGGAAAAAAAACACATATTTCTTATAAATAAATAACTTAACTAATTTTCTTAATATTCTTAAGTTAATTATATATCTAATTTTTATATTAAGAACTCGATGTGTATATGTGTGTGTACTATGTATAGTTAACACTTAGGCAAAAAGGGGGGAGCTGCATCAGCAAAATCATCCATCCATCAATTATCTATTTTAAAACTTGAATTATGTACAGATTAATCAATTCAAACTACAGAAAGCATTAATTATGAGAAGCGGACGGCATTGTGTGTGTGTGTAACTCATTTAGAATACAAATAATCTTAATTAGATTAAAATATGGTATGATAATATTCATCAAAATGCCTAATTATTAGAAAACAATAACTTATCTAAATATAATATGCGGACATTATTACTCCGATACGGACTTTTGCACCTGAGACTGAAATCATACGTAATTGCTTTCCCGATTGAATCAATAAAAGCATCCATCCAGCTTTGCCTTTAAAAGTATATATAATTACGCAACAACAATCAATGATCGATCTCAAAATCATTATATTTCCTTTACTTGTGCTTCTCTCCCATTCAACTAAAATCCTTCTTTCGTAAAATTTGTGATTTAATTTGGTTTGCTTAAGAAGGATCAAAAGGGAAGAAACACAGTCCATGGTGTCTCAATAGAGACGATGACAGTGAGGATCGATCGGGAGAAAGAGAACACAATTGTTATGGGAAACTGCAGAAAACTGACTTCAGATTAATTAAAGGAAGTAATTATACAAATCAAAGGCAGATATAAGATATAATGATGGATGGATCTCAAGTAGGAAAATTAGAGCAGCCATTCAAATGGATGGAGAGAGATAAAGGACGAGGGAGAAGATAGATTTTTATACTACGAAAAAAACATCGAATTAGCCATAGAATTTAGCGATACTAATTGATTAGCAGCAGAACTCCTTCACTAAACTGATTAGCGACGGAAATTCTGTGGCTAAATTTTCTTCTTTCAAGCAGCAGCAACAGTCTGACTTTTGGTGGAAGAAGGAGTAGGAGAGTCTTTCTGTTTCTTGGAGGAGGTGACCTTATTCTTGTTCCACTTATCTTTTCTCTCGTCTTGCTTCATCTGCTCCTCCCTGCACTCTGAACTGCAGAATGCTGTGTCCCCTCTGCAATAATTTTCATATAATGTTCCAATCAGTACGGAAACAATAGAACAGAAGGAGAAAGAAGAAAGAGATGAGATATGGATGGATCTAATAACCTGTACATGTAGATGTCTCGACCGGCGGCTAAACGGCGGTTGCAGAGACGGCAGCTTCTAAGAAAGTGAGGTATTTCCATGGGATCTTCAGAAGATGCTTCCTGATGGGTTTCTGTGTTGCTAAGCTGGGCGTCTATGGCGTCTATGTTCATGCCGCTCATGCTGCTTGTTCTTCTCATAATCGATCCACCTCCAGTACGCTTTCCCATCTTCTTCTTCCTGGGAATTGGATTTCAGTATATATAGATAGTGATGAATTAAAATGAGTAGCTAAGCTGGGTGGTTTACAGAAAGAGATTAGTGATTCAGAGTTGAGACAAACTCATAGCCACAGTGCGTGAGAGAGTGTGAGAACGGAAGGTGGGAAGTGATGTTGCCTCATAAACGGGATGCCTCTACCCTCTCATCCAATCTCAACCGTTGCTTCTTTCCCCATCATCTACTCCTCCACGTCGCCCCCTCCTCCTTCCAATCTCTCTCTCTCTCAAAAATTCTTAAGGAAAATTAACCAATTGGTCATTGTAATTTACCTTAATTTTGAATTAGATTCTTATATATATTTTTTTGAATTGAGTCTTTATACTTTGATCTATTATAGGCAGTTATCCTTAAGATAATACCAATTAATTTTAATTTATAAAATTTCATGAATTTTACAGATTTTATTTCTTTTTAGTTAACGTCATTTTAACATATGTATGTCACTATGAATAAATTTTCATAAATCTATAAGTTAAAACTACTGGATCAAATAATGAGGATCTAATAAAATAAATCATAGGGACCTAATTTAAAAATTAAGATAAACTATAAGAATGTGTGATCAATTTTTCTTTTCTTTTTTTGACAATTGTGAATTTTTGATGACTCACATATACATGATATAGAAGATCAAGTAGTTGGGGTTGTACCCTTCTATTTAAAGGTTTCTGAGTTCAAATTCTAGAAATTCTGTTGTTTCCAAGTTGGTCTAGATTAATGATTCCGTAAATCCTCCAATAATTAAAAAGAAATTAGTCCCAGGACATCAAATACTCTAATGAAAGAACAAAAATAGAAAAAGAAAAAAAAAAACGAAAGAGAGAAAGACACATTCCCTCATGCATTATTTAAAATTTTAAATAAGCTCTATATGAATACTACAATCTATTATAACTTTTATACTTTATTTTCTCCTTTTACATAGGAGTTTAGATTTGTTTTCCTAAAACAACTTCCTTATTCTAATTTATTATTTAGTTTTACTAAAAATTTTAAAAGAATAATAATAAATCTCGAAAAAAACTTTAAAAACACTTTTACACTTATTCTTATTCATTTTTTTTAAATTGATATATTTACTGCAAATAATAATTAATTTCCTTATTTTGTGGAAACTACAGTGTTATATATCGAACACCTTTCGTCTTCAAAAGAAAATTACTTCATATTCCTTCAAGCATTATCTTATTGGAATACTCCTTCATTTACAGGTAGATGTTTTCAAATTTAGAACTTTGTGGAACACTAATTAATGACTTACGTATTGGACCTCAAAAAAGATCGAATAAAATTGTTCAAAACAAACCCCAAATTGATTGGAAGAAGGTCAATGAAAATTAGTTTATTATAATTAGAATCAGAGAGAATTGCAATGAAGTCCCAAAGAAAAAATATAATTATTATAAAGTTCAAAATAACAGCTAAGCAGTTTGTAATGCAAGAAATGACAACTTCTCACTTATTTTTGAGACTTTTTAATAGTTTTTTTTTTTCATGGAACTCTATTGCAATTGTCCCTTGTAAATATGTTAAGGGATAGTTTTCCAAAATAATTTGTTAAAAACATAGACTAATTATTTACTACTCCTCCGGTCCTAGATATTAGACCAATTTTATAGTGTAATTTATATTATAAAATGGGTTTTATATTTAGAATCAGAGGGAATAATACTTAAAGCGTAAGTTGATTGACGCACCACTCTGGGCTACCTCAAGCGACAAAGGCAAAGTTGAAAACAAGCCAAAATCAAGGATCCAAATCTCTCTAATATAATCCAAAATATAATTAAACAATTGTGAGTTAATTAATTTTTTTCTCTCTTAATTTTTCTAGTGACAACATAGTTGAGAGTATCTTTTTTAACATATCTTTTTATTTAAACAGTTCAGACCAATAATCTTATTTAAAGGCTTCAAATTATCTTCCATTTAACCTAATTACCGTTGGTAACCAAAGCTGGATTTGATTGGACGCAAATTGTTGAGTGGAATCTAGATATTGGCAACCTGCATTCCCATCTAATCAGACGGTGGAATCTTAAAAAGAAGCTTTACAATAATTTGAGATCAAAATGTAATTAATGGCTTTCGTCAAATTCCAGTTCATATCAATCAACAAAAGATTATTAATTAGACGAAATTAAAAAAGTGGGGATGATTCGATTGAATTTGAAGTTTAAACTTGATTGAAATATAATTAATTAACCTCAACGGGTTATTAAAATTTAAAAGATTAATTGAGTTGAATAATTTATTTTTCAAAAAATAGACTTTGGATAACAAAAGTGTAATTTATAAAAAATCAATTTTATCCCAAAAATTGGGAGTTACGTCTAGGACTGGAGAGAATAGAGAGGAAAACAAACAAACCATACTGTTTGTATTTAAAATAAGAGGTTTTGATAAATGTATATAAGTGATTTTAATAGATTTCTAAATTTTTTTTATTTACAAAATTTAGTAGAGGAAGATGTTCTAATTCTAATTGTAAGTTTAAGACCTCAATTCATTTTATTTTTTAAATTTATTTTTATTGATTGTAAATATTAAAGGAGTTTTGTATTAAAAGAATATTTTTGAATGCAAATGATTAAATATATTTAAATTGAATTTACAGTTGGACCACATATGCAAGCATAATTTGTCCTTTTCATTAATTATTTTCCATTTCAACTCTTCATAAGCTAAGGAACTTTTCTATGTTCGGTTTACTTTTTCAATATAAGATGAACATAAAGTAAAAAGAAATTGGTTTTGATTCCATCATTAATTATATGTCACTATCATATGAACTGGTCTTCTTCATGGTCCTTTCATAAGCATTCTTCATTATTTCCATATATTCAATTTAATATTAATAACCCCATTTTGTTGGGCAACAATATTATAGGTTTATCATTCCATAGGTTTAATTTAATAATGGTCTGTCTCAATACTGCTGGCTGAAGGTGGATATTACTCCCCACTTGGATATACAAGAATATCGCTCAATTTTTGTGCCTATTATAAATGCATATATATTATGTTTATAAAAAGATTTTGTAGAGTATCGGTTTTTCTATGCACAAAAATTTATTAAATCATTCTCATCAATAAAATTTTTAATAATAAACTTTTTCCCAAATATTTTCTACATTATACTGAATTTCAACTAATCCAAATTAAATTAAAAAGATCACAAGAGCGGTGGAAGACATAAAGATCTCAAATTTAATATAATGATTTTTGGAGTCTTCTGACCCAATAATACCAAGCACCCACTCAAGGTTTTTCTTCTTAAGTGAGGTTGGAGTTTGATCTTTTATGAATATGATCATCTCTTCAATTGCTTTCATTACTTAAAAAAGATTGAAAAAGAAAATCGATAATATCATTTGAACTACTATATGAGTTACTTGCTCCTTGATTGTAATTGGACCGCACATTCATATTTAATTTCTCTTTTTCTTTAATTATCCATCATTTTAATTGTTTTCCATTTGACATTTGTTTCATGCCCTTCATAAAAATCTCCACAGGTTAAAGGAACTTCTCTCTTTTATGATTTACTTTCACACGCGTGTCCACACATACAGTTAAAATAATAATGCTGGAATTTTAACCCTTGCTTCTATCTTTAATCATATGTCCCTATCATATGAACTGGTATTCTTCCCTGTTCCTTTCATGGGTAATCAATTTAATAACCCCTTTTTCTTCAGCAATAATTGTAGGTTTATGAGGCCTCGTTCAATAGTTTCTGTTGACCTGGGTCCATTATTTAATAATTAAAGAAATGAAATAGAGAAATAGTAAAAATACAATACTTTGTTGGGCCAAACAAGCAATGTAGCTGTGGAAAGTCGTCATGAGTGTGGCCATCTCATTAATATCATTTGTTTCAATGATACAGACACGTGTCAATTCCTCATAGGTGACCTATCTCATTTGTCTTTTTCTTCACTTCTTCGATATAGACTCTCTCTCTCTCTCTCACTGTCTCGCATCTTAATTTTCTAAGGTTTTTTCAACTTCTAAATATAACATTTAGTTAATTAATTTAAGGAGAGTATGATATTTGATCGATTTAATTATTTTTCATTATTATATAAAATTTATGTGTGATTTTTTAAATGCCACTCAAATGACTCAATGAATGTATTAAACGAGAGGCAAAGAGAGTAAAGAAGGTGAAATTAATAAGGGCATGAGAAAAATATTAAATGAGGCAAAGTATATCAAATTCTTATATTTAACACCAAATTATATCTATCAATTAGTTTTTATATCAGAAACCATGTCCATACTTGGGTTCTTAGAGAGGCTAATGCGGTTGCTTATTGGCTTGCAAAAGCTACATTGGAGGGGTCATCCCCATTTGATTGGGTTTGGAGACCGCCCCCTTGTACTGTGGAAATTGCTTGATCGTGATGCTTGCTCTCTGATTGCAAATATGTGATAGTTCGCTCTGTTTATGTTTGTTTGTTTGTTTTTCTTTTAATTGTTTTCTGTGGTTTGTTTGATATTGTTGCCCGACCTTTTGGATTTTTTTTGTTATTAATGAATTACTTTTCTAGCAAAAAATTAGCTTTTATATTTAGAACCAAATAGAATAATTTGTATAATTATTTATGATAGCTTAAGATTCACTTCTTAAAGAGTATGTTTTTTTAATTCATTCAAATGAGATTTGAATTAGAGATGTAGAATTTAAGGGGAACATATGAAAATTTCAAATTAATTATTTATTTCTCCATTTAAACCCTTAATTGACATATTATTTAATTATGATGCTTCCTATTTAATTCAATATATTCAAATCCCAATTAAGATATTATTTAAATTCAAAATTAGTTATTAATTTTTTTATTTGAGTCTCCAATTGAAATTTTATTTAATAGTTATGTTTCTTATTTAATTCAATATACCCAAATCCTAATTAAAATATTATTCAAATCTTATTAATTGAATATATTCAGATCTCATTATATCATACCCGACCCGTTTTTAAATGAATAGGATATTACAAGTTTTCAAGAGTATAGTTGATTGATGATGATTACACAATTCTACTTGTAAATATGAAATTTTGACTTATAAACATTAT